CTGCTGAACTTGCTGCATGGCTCCTTTTTATTCCTGTTAGCAAATATAACATGTCAGCCCCCAGTAGTCGTCTTCACATGTCCAAAAGTTTGACATTAGTCTGAGACATGGACTGTATATAAGAAGGGGACTTAGTCATGGTGACATCACCCATTGGTTTGTGGACTTCCGTTATGAAGCCTCAAGTTTGGTGATTTTGCCGTCGCCATGTTGGACTACGGCCGTATACGGTAGCAGCAGCGACCCGTCAATCACCGTGTAGCCCCGCCCTAAAGCATCCCCTGCTTTATGGTCTGTTTGACTCTAAATGGACCATAATGTACTAAATGAACATCATGCTGTATTGAAGAAGACTTGAAACTAGAGATTGAGACCATGAACTCATGTTTACAATGTTTACTGAGGTAATAAATCAAGAGAGAAGTAGAGTCATTTTCTCATAGACTACTATACAAACTGACTTATTTCTTAAAGATCGTGAAATACTTAGTTAGATTCAGAAAAAGATTCTAAAATATTTTATTGTGTTGGTTTTAGGAAAAGATCTTGGTTTAGGTTAAAATAACTACAAAAGTGGCGTTACATAACTACGGAAGTTACGTTAGGAATAAATCAATGTTAACTTTTTGTTTCCCGCGGGACACGAACAACGGTCTCCTGGGTGAAAGACCGGCTTTTGTTCGGAATTGTTTAAAAATGGTCTGAAAAAAAACTTCAATTGCTGTAAAGAATTTGGGGAAATAGTTAAAGGTATACATTCATTCACTCTAACAGCATCTGCTCTAACCGAGTCAGAATCACAACTTTGAAAAATGTTGTACAAAATTTAGTTGGACCTTTTAATGATGACATCCATCCTTTAGTCTGTCTTTGCCCGTGCTGAAGTCATTACCGTCTCGGTTTGAAAAGATGTTCGCACTGTAAGCATAATGCCGCCGCTTCTACTGCGGGGGGATCTGGCCTGACGCCTAGTCTATAACTCAACCTGTTCAGTAAGCTGACAGCGCCAGCAGTCATTAGCCTAATCGTATTCAAATTATTCACCAGGAGACACTAATTTATCAGGCAGAGCTGGAGAATGGAGGACACGTGTTCGGGTGAAGCTGTGCATCCATTCATAAAGACGGTTATTGTGACAGATCACGTGTTGTGCTTCCAGACAAACATATTTGCAATCCACTGATAACTCGGCCACCAGATCTTCGGCACCAGACTTTAGTGGGTTTGGAGGCCGAGAGCTGAGGATTCACACTGCTGCTGGGAAAAGTTGTGACTTCAACAGTTTTGTCTCACATCCAGTTCCAGAGATGGCCAAGTTGCCTGAAGCGTTCTTTATGTCTCAAGTTACTGTGTTTGTGTGTGTGCAAGTTCCTGTTTATATAACAGTACACGTTGGTCTTGTACTTGTAGGGACACATTTTTTGGTCTGTTTTGGTGCCTGTGCACACATGTAGGTGTACGTTTGGTGCCTAAATCCTTTTGGGTATGCATCAGTCTGCCAGAGCCCGTGCATGTCAGTGTGCATGTCAGTGTGTGTGTGTGTGTGTGTGTGTGTGTGTGTGTGTGTGTGTGTGTGTATGTGTGGGTGTGTGTGTGTGCACATGTGTTCCTGTGTGTGTTGATGAGCAGCCTCTGGGGTCCATTATGCCTGTGACAGCCCCACAGCGGGGAAAGCAACCAGCAAGATAAGTTATGAAAGTGGTTTAAAGCAAAATTGAATCCACAACTTATGAATTATTAAACTCATTACACCTCTGTGAAGATCGCTAAACTGCCAAACACAACAACAATGGCCTCCTTTTCCGCTGTCACTGCTGGGGAGAGAACTGATTTCCAAGCATTACCGGTGGGGATAGTGCTGCATATTTTAAAGGTGTTAGAGGGAAATGTGTCACCATATGGAAAACACTTCATACACTGAGGTTGTTGGGAGGCAAGAAACTACTTGTTGTATGGTAGAAAAATACTTCATATGTGTCTTCATGTGAGAAAAGACTCATGAAGTATAGCACGGTGAGGACGTGATGATGTTTAGTAGTCTAATTTAGCCACTTGTTAGCCATCGCTCTTTTTAAGACACGTAAAAGCTGAGAGAACAGTTGACGGAGAAGCTCCAAACAAAGGTTCGGATACAAATAGGAGAAATCCACCAGTAGAGCTTTTACCAGCACATCATCAATGAATTATTTATCCGTTCATACTTGTTTTGTACCAATGATGGCAATTGGTGAAATGCAACCTATCCACAGGTCAAACACACACTCTCACGTTCAGCTGACATGCATGTGCTTGGATTGTGGCTGGAAACCAATGTAGGGGGAATAAGCAAGAATTGAAGTTTTTTAAGTATGGAAAAATGGAAACCACGAGTTAAACTTGGTGACAGTATCATTAAATATGTCCTATATACAGAAGCTTTTGAGTCAATAGCTAAAAAAAACTATTGCAGTGTCTTTGTCGCAGTGAAATTGAGTCTTGAAGGCAGCTGGAAAGGAGTGTGAATGCAATTTGAAGTGGAATTAAAAGCACAACTACGGAGATAAAGGATTTTGCAGGACATCCTTTCCAACTGCTTAACTCTGTTGATAGTAAGCTGGTTTAAAAGCTGGTTTCAGGTGCCGGAAAGCATTAAAAAAAATATATATATATTTATCCTGCAAGTTTTGCAGAGACATTTATGTTTAAGCTGCGGCGTAATTGTTCCTGATTATAATGCAACTTAATGACACTTCTGGAGGAGAGCATGAAAGTAGGAGAGAATTGGCTTATGAATTGTTAAAGTTATTCCACCCCTCTGATGAAGCAGAGGTTGTAAAAGTAGGACACATCCGCTCCCATCAGAGCCACAACAACAACAGCCGCAGCTCCGCTGTCACAGCGTCTGTCAGACTGAGTTAGAGTCTGGGTTAGCGAAATACTTCATTTCCTATATAGATGACACCTTCGGATATGTAATAAAAAGTGCTAAGATCAAACGCTAATGAATTCTTAATATTGATTATGAACTCGAAAACACTTTGGAAAATGTTCAAAGGTCAAAGTGATTCTTCACTCTAAATATATTCAAATCATTATCAGTGTGTCACACCAGCCTCAAATCGACATTGGAATTCAGTTTGTATGTGGATATCTAATAATATCGGCCGCGAGTTCGCTACAAGCCCTCTTAGCTTTTTTCCCAGTAATATAAGAATATATAAACAACCCTGTATTCCAAAATCATACAAACACAAGTAGCCGTCACAAAAAAGCATGTCATGATTTCAGACTACTACTGCATTAGCCTCTGTGCTAATATTACTGGGTTAGCCTTTGTTCTACTGGGTTAGACTTTGTGCTAACCTTAGTAGGTTAGCCATTGTGCTAATGTTACTATTTTATCCTTTGTGCTGACGTTACTAAGTCTTTGTTCTACTGGGCTTGCCTTTGTTACTGGGTTAGCCTTTGTGCTACTGAGTTAGCTTGCTGAGCAGCGGTTCTCCCTCATTTCATGGCTCAGTGGGTGTGCGCTCGTGAACGAGTTAACTTCTGGACTTCACTCTTGGTCCAATATTTAGGGTTTTCTTCCATTTTTTAACGTTACGAGCTTGTGTTTGTGTTTTGTGTTGTCTGTTTTTTACACGGCTAACAAGAAAAAAGAAACCAAACAAGAATTCTTGTTGTGGGTAATAAAAATGATGGTAGTTGCAGTTCACGACAGACACCTGTGGAGATCCGTGGAGAACTGAATTTACAACGTATTAAATATTAAAATCCTCACACGTCTCTGCCACAAAGCCTCTGCCAGAGACCATAAAACAGGACATCTGTTCCCACCTGTGACACGATGATGGCCAAGCAGGGAGGAGACTAACCTCATCACCGCTTCACAAATGGCCTTTCTGTGTACAATGCGTCAAACTATTGAATAATAGTGACTGTAACTACAGGTGCTGGGAAAATCGTCCTTACAAGGTGGTAAATTAGATGCAATTGCACTTGTAATAGTGCTGAGTAGATTATATGTGAGGGAGGCTTTTGAAGTATTTACATGGGGACTTTGTAGAATTCTTGTAAATGTTTCCACTTGTCAGGAAGGAAACGCCCCTGACGCAGCACTTTCAGAGCATTTTGCAGCTCTTTAGGCAAAGAGGCCCACTGTGGCTGCATCTGTTCAATGGGAGAGGACACTGGGATTTTGGATAAAAAATAATGTGTAATTTCAGGCTCATTTTCACTCCTGCACTTTGTGAAACATTTTGCTAACATGCTGGACAAAGTAATTTGGATTCACCTTCTGGGGATTTGTGGTTGTTTTATTGAGCCCATGTGTTCGTTTTCAAGATATTTCACAGTGGACCGATGTTGCCATCCCTACGGACATTCCACTAGCGTGGTCATTAGGAAAACAAACAGCCAAAGAGACAATGAAGTAAAACATAAATACACAAGAGCACATAGAAGAAGAATATACAGTTTGTTTTTATTGTATTTCATCTGTTGGAGACTTGTGGGACACACTAATTTATAATTACATGCAACATAAAGGAGGGCAGCCTGTTACCCTTCACTGCTTGTTAAACCTATGACAGGTAATGTACTGTATGTAACCCACGTAATAGTGAGCCAGAACGTGCATGGCTGCCTGTGAGGAAGTCAGATGACATGGTATAAAGAGGGACAATGTCAGCAAACAAGCACAGGACTTTAACCCAGGAGACCGCTGTTCATGTTCCATGTGAAACCAAAAGGTCAACGTTGACTTGTTTTTAGTTACGTTAATACAAAGCAGTTTGGTCTCACTCCCAGGGCATCAAATACCAACAGTTGGGCAGTAGCCCTCTGTGTTTTTACCAATTATTAAAGGAAGTGAGTTGGAGAGGGATGTTTTAGATGTTGTAGTAGCAGTAGATATTTCTGTGGAGGAGAGTATTGCTGTTGTTGTGTATTTGGTGTAAACCAAAGAAACAGAAGTATATTGATACCTCTAAAGCTTTGCTGTGTGTCTCTGTTTTCTCTAGATGACGGACCATATGGAAAAACGAAGGATATCTCTGGACAAGAACAGACCATGGCCTCGAGAAGACACAGTATACCAGGTATATACAACATCTATCCATCCATCCATGCATCCATCCATCCCTATAATGCTTGGATAACTACTGTAAAATCTGTCATCCACATTCAGCGTCACCATCATAATCTTTCGTCATAATTTGTCTCAGACAAATGCCGAAAGCAAAATTGTACGACGACAGCAGTTTGCTTAATGAGTTTGAAAAATAGCTTCCCTCTGTCTAAGCTGGATCATTTTCACTCCAGTTCACTATCAGATTCTGGTGTACTTTGTGTGTGAGTGGCAGTGACCTGATGTCTGTAGATAAGAACAAGGTCCCAGGTTGTCTGTAAGTAAAAGCGTTTGCTCTGAAAGGGTCCCTGAGTGCCAACTGTCTCACCAAACCTTGTTATTGTAATATATATTGCAATAATGTATATGCATTTACAGTTATTTATTTGTCTGTATTTTTGTCTGTAGGAAACCCCATTCTCTCTCCATCCTGAAAACTAGTTATCTTACAACGTTGCGTTTTTTTCCGTTATGTTCCGTTTTTACGTTCCGTTGTTCCGTTACGTTGTAACATTATGATTTAACTAATTAATTTGATTTCTGGGAACTTTGACAATTTTTGTAGACTCAAGCATACTTTCCGATGATAAGATTATTCTCCGTTTCGAATTACAAATATCTATTATATTTTATATTCTTTGTTACTTTCTCTCTTATCTGGAATTCTTTCAATCATGAAATCACCCATTTTACTTCATCTCCATCATCAGGTTTTTATTTTCCTGTCTTTTTATCAATCTGACCAAATCCCTCCATTCAGTGTCTTGTCTTCTGTCGGTCTCTTTATTTCCTCTATTTTTCCTATTTCTTTTGTGCTGTTCTCCCTCTTCTCTTTATCATCTTCATTCATCCATGCAGTTACATATCTCAGCTCTATTCTCGTTTCCAGCATCACCTTTCTTCAGGTATACAGTTATAAGTATTTGTCTCATTCACCTTCCATAGTCACATTGTTGTTGACTCTGTTCTTTGTTATTATTTGAGTACAAATTCATAACAATGTACTTCAATGTGTGTGTGTGTGTGTGTGTGTGTGTGTGTGTGTGTGTATGTGTGAGTTGGATAATATTTGTACTTTCTCCCATTTGCCTGATAAAATGGCTTCCCTGAGTTCTCTGTTGAGATTATAGAAACCATTTCATGAGTTTCGTTCTGTGTGTTGTACAAATCTTCTCGTGTGTATTCTCTGTTCCCCGAGCATCAAAATTAAATGGGAGATAAAACTTTATGAATCCCAACACGGTCAGTTCTGCATCTGCGGAGGAGACAAAAAAACAACTAATTTTGTGATGATTCATTTCAGAGGAATCCATCTACATTTGTAAAAGCTTTGGTGCTTCTATCCAAATAGGAACAGAACTAATGAATGAATATGTGTGTGCGTGTGTGTGTGTGTGTGTGTGTATGTTTGTGTGTGTGTTGTAATACCCAAAACAGAGATAACTGGTGTGTGAATCACCTCACTGATCCTCAGTGTCGCCTGAGGGATTTACCAAATCTAGCCATCTATCACACCAAAGCTTCATCTCACCTGTGTGTGTGTGTGTGTGTGTGTGTGTGTGTGTGACAGATATAGAAACCGAATGAGAGACAGCTATTTATTTGCAGAACAGAATCACTGTTCTTTGAGCCTGTTTGTGTGTTTGTGCGTGCGTGCATGTGTAGATGTGTAGATGATAATGATACAAATACAGACAGCTGGAGAGACTGTCCATCAGCACACCTCAAAGCTTTCATTTTAACTACCAATGTTCTCTTGGCTGCTTCGAATTTAAACACTTAAAAGGCAAATTCACAAAAGCATTTTGCGGCAACTAAACCTGCATAAGGCAAAAGAGAAACTGTGTAATTCTCAATTAAAATGCACGGTTGTATGCTTGAAGGCACACAGTGTTTCTGTCATCTGGGTAGTACTACCGACTATGTGACGTGACATTCGTGGCTCTAGGTGCTGTGCATCTTGCTTACAATTTGCTGTAATCCTAAACTTTTTTCCCCAGACCTTATCCATGAAAGGTTCTTTTTTTAATTCTATCCAAGTGAGGACATATATAGAAAATAAACACAAGTTCTCTAATATGTTAAGTGTCTCAAACAAACAAAAAGAACATCTTTTGTTTGTTTGTTTCATCTGTTGCAAGCAGATGTCTTTTCATTGTTTCATTGCTAGCAGAAGGACCCGGCTGATGCTTTGAAAGAAAATGGCAGATAACGGCGCTCACAGTCATGGAGAAACTAGCCTTTCTTCATGAACGTCTGTCATGAATACTTAACTTCAAAGCAGCGGAAGAGTCAAGGCGAACTGAAGTCTGCGGTGTCGTTCCCAAGTCAACTCATTAAGCTGTTTACCTCATGAAGCCTTGACTCAGCTCAAGAATAGCTGGGCGGCTACAGGATTTTTGGGGGATGTTGTGATCTCTATGTTGATACAGTACTTTAATGAAGTGTTTGGGGAATATACCAGTTTACAATAGTTTATTGTCCTCCTGTGGAAATCACTACAATACACAGAGAATCCTCTTCAGTACATTCGGTGGAGGGTTGTATTGTTTTCACACGTTACAGGCTCATCCAAAGCATGTCAGTTGTCTTTATTTCAATCAGGAGATTTAATATATCGTGGTCCGTTTACGTCTTACAATAGTTTTTGAGATATTCCTGATCAACGTATCCTCTTACGAAGGTTCGTATGATATCATACGAAGTTATTCCTTTTTCGTGCATTCTGCTACGAATGTCGAGCCACACGTGTCAATTTCCGCTCATTACATCCACAGCCTTTTTAAAAATATCATCCGTTTTCACAGGAAACAAGTTGGTGAGGTTTAGACAAAAGAAATTAAATACATGATTAGGTTCAGGTAAAGATTGTCGGTAGGGTTAAAATAACTACGGGAGTTGCGTGACTTAAGTAAGGAAGTTGCGTGACGAGTAAATCAACGTTGACTTCTGTCTCCTGGGTGACAGACCGGTGTTTTTGGACCCAAACATCCAACCCATGCATGTAAACTAACAACTGGATACGGCGCTGTTGCTCAGCCTTCTTTCCATATTCGTCCGGTGTTCACTTGCAGTATTGCAGCCCAAATTCCCCACGCGGCCCAAAAAGCATTTTCCCCATTGACCACCATTGTAAAAGAGGCGTCTGTAAAACTATTGACAGGACACCTCAAAGTGCAAACAACGTAAACCATGACTTCCTTATTTTTAATTTTTAAACCATAGAGCATTTATATTCTTTTGTCTACTTAAATTTGAATTAACTGATTAAAATCTAAATGGAGCGTCACACAGTCAGGTTTAAAGTGGATTCTAAGTGTCATACAGTACAATAAGTACCTCGAAAGAGGTATTCCCACTTCTTTTACTTTTTAACGTTGTATTGAACCACAATAGATGTACAAATGTTATTAGCATGTTCTAAGAACCTTACAGGGAAAACAGATCTCTAAAGCATCATGTAGTGAATAACCTGCAGTCCAAATACTTGAATATGTATCGTTTTGACTTTTCACGAAGTTGTTTCTGTCCTAAATGAATGAGTTTTAACACACAGACTTTAGGCTGAAGACTCATGTGACTGTTTGCTGGTACTGATGATGTGCTTTGACCTTTCAAGGCCTTTCCGTCCCTGCCAGGAACACTTCAAGTGAAATGAAATTTATGACACACCGAGGCTTTGTTAATTCTCATTAACGGATGCTTATCTTATCTGATCCTCATTGATCAGTGTCTCACTCAAGGACACTCGGCAGCAAACATCTTTTGATTTATCTTTCTTGTAACTCGGCTTCCATTTAATCAGGGAATCAGAATGAACAGAGGGGCCGCCGCTAACCACTTTCCACCTCTCTGCTGTATTTGTGTGATCGACTGTGTGTGTCTGTGTCTGTGTGCACTTCTGTGTGTGTGTGTGTGTGTGTGTATTTGTCTTTATGTGTGTGTGTCTGTTTTTGGTTAGAAGCTCTGCGGGGGGTGACCCTGGTGGAGCTGGTGAAGAAAGAAGGCAGCACACTGGGCCTCACCATCTCGGGAGGAACCGACAAGGACGGGAAACCACGGGTATCGAACCTGCGACCCGGAGGACTGGCGGCCAGGTGGGTGCAACACCAGCAAGGAAGTGGAGGAAGAATAGATTAAAAAAACATCTCACGATAACGCTCAGGAGACAAAAAAATATAAAGTATTTCCAAAACAAAATGTAGTTGTTCCACCATGTGATTAAACCAGGCGGCAACCTCCGGGTCTGAAAGGTGAAGCCAATGCTGAAGTGTCCTAAACCTGCATTATCTCTATTGTCCACCAGGGGGCGACTCCTCTGGTTGTATAGAAGTCTATGAGAAAATGACTCTACTTCTCTCTTGATTTATTACCTCAGTAAACATTGTAAACATGAGTTTATGGTCTCAATCTCTAGTTTCAAGTCTTCTTCAATACAGCATGATGTTCATTTAGTAAACTATGGTCCATTTAGAGTCAAATAGATTGATAAGCAGGGGATGATTTAGGGCGGGGCTACTGTGATTGACAGGTCTCTACCACAGTGTTGTGCGGTCGTCCGTGTTTTTGTTTTACAACTTTAACCTCTTGTGTGTTTCCAGTTCATGAAAGTTCGTTGTATCCATTTTGGTCTCATTTAGCATTCGGTTGTATTTAGCTCCACCCTCTGGTGTCGCTTTTGGTTACAAAAAAACAAGATGGCAACAGCCAAAATGCTGCTTAAAGGCTTCAAAAGCGTAGTTCACAAACCAATGGGTGACGTCACCGTGACTACGTCCCCTTCTTTCGCACAGTCGAGGGATTGAAACAGGTGCCCTTTCCTCACGCTTGTACTTCATTCATTCCTCTTCTGTGCAGGAGTGACCAGCTAAATGTCGGCGACTACATCAAGTCGGTAAACGGCATCAATCTGACCAAACTGCGGCACGAAGAGATCATCAGCTTACTGAAGAACGTAGGAGAGAGAGTTCTGCTGGAGGTGGAGTACGAACTGCCCCCGACAGGTATACGTACGAATACACTCACATTGCTTTTAGGGTCATAAAGTACGAGCTCCAGTATGGTAGAGTCCGACATTAGCACAATGGGAAAAACTCAACATAGTCAGCAGACAAAAAGGTCAATATTTGACAATTAAGCAAAACCTTGGAATACATTCGATAAAGTTTTGTTTTTAGTAGTGTTATTGAAAATTCCACAATATCTGCTGGAGTGATGGTGGGGGCCACGGAACACTTGGTTAGTGTTACGGTACGTTTGGTTCAAACAACTTAAACACCTTAAGGTGAGAGAACAATGGTGGTTACAGCACTGAACGTTGGCACTTCATGTATATTGTGAGATGCGTAATTGTCCAATTGTTTCTTATTTCCTTCTTATTCACATATTTTTCTATTTTATTAAAACTAAATCATCAAAATGTAAAACGAGTGTTTCTTGTCATGTTGCATTGTCTCATTACTTTAAGTCATTATTCATACTCTTTATTTTTCTGTATTAAATGTTTACGCTCCATTAGCCTGCTGTAAAATGTATTAAATGAACAAAACTTTAGTTGCACCACATTATGGAGCAGAAATATTTCACAGCTGCAGCATGAATTCTTTCTCTAAAATGAATAACTTGCCCCTCTCTGTCTCTCTCTCTCTTTCTGTCGCTCTACCTCTCTCGTTCTCAAAGCACCCGACAGCACCTCGGGGGTTATATCAAAGACCATCGACATCTGTTTGCACAAAGAGGGGAGCAGCTTTGGTTTCGTCATGAGAGGTAACCATCAGTCAAATACATAACTGTATATTTAGAGAACTATATGACTAGTTATGCTTGACATGGCGCCATGTTGGAATGGTGCCACTAAGAGGAGAAGTATCACTGTTTAAAAAAAAAAATTGAAGTTTAGGCAACAAATCGACAGTAAAATGAGTCAATGGTGATTTGGTTTGAAGTGACTTGGGACGGGAACTGTGGACTCGTGGGTGAAAGTCCTGTTTGTTCCATCCAACCCGCCCCACCAATCACCCCACATAGACTTTCTTGCTCTTTGTGTCCGTTGCTGCTCTGACCATTTAATAAGATGTTGGATGGGTCCCCTACAGAAGCCAAAGGGTGCTATGACCAAGCTGCGGTATTTGACGAGTTACAAGTGAGAACGGGTTGATTTGATGCCATCAGCTTTCACCTTTGCTCTTCTTGCAGGCGGTACCCACGAGGACTGGCACAAGTCACGCCCCCTAGTGGTCACCTACGTCAGGCCAGGAGGCCCTGCAGACAGGTAGCACTGACTGCACACTCATGCAACCTTAAACCCGCATATACTGTACTGTCAGCTACATGTGCGTAAGTGTGCAAACTCACACAAAGCCACATGCATGCTCACAGAAACAAACATATTCATGCTCATACAGTTGCACTGAGACAGTCTCTTATGGGGGTGAAAAGGGAAGTCTAGGAAAAATGAAAGCCAGACACTGGCCTCCATTGAGTTTAAACCAACAGCGGCACATCTCGGCCACTTCCAGTCAGGAGTCTGGGAGATTTGCCTGCGCCCTCATGCGAATAAACCCCAAGGATACTGGTGTCAGATCCTGTGACCGTCACTGGTATGTTGACAGTTATGTGTTACTCACAGCTGCAGCTGCATGAATCACCTCATATAAAACCCGGTTTAATACAATTGCCTAGAAACCCTCATTCTGTCGATGAAGCGTCATCTACTTGTGGTAGAACCCTGGTTGAACCCCCCCATGAACACAGACAGTTGGCCTCTTCCACTTCCTGTTTGAGGAGTGTAAGAGGCCATCTTAACTTATTGCACATGCTTTGGTCAAGAGAGGACTCAACATGAAGCCTAAACAAGCTACAGCTTTGTCTTTCAAGTGACAATGACAACAGACAGTTAGCTAAAGGTGCACTCCAATTACAAAGCAAGCATATCATGCCATACATGATGCAGTGTGAGAACACAAAACTGCATCATGTCATCACTTTGTAAGAAATTCTAACACGTTTTTAGTGCAGTTGGGTGAATTGGTCACCAAAGGATTGTTGGTAATTTGATAGATTCAGTTTGTTGCCCAGCTCTAGTTCGCTGCTATGTTCTCCTGACGCTGATCTCATAGAAATGTTAGTATTTAATATACAGTACACTACAACTAATGTAAATAAGGCTCCTGGTACAACAACATCTTGCTATAAGTTTTAAATGTGTCATCTTTATTGCAATATCACAAAGCTCACTGCTTGGTCCCATTTAGAAAATGACATATTCTACTGCACTGCTTCTTCACTGTTATTTTATTCTTCTGGCAACTCTCTGTGAAAGATTTGCATGCAGTAATACATCAGGACACATGCAGTACTACATCAGGACACATGCAGTACTACATCAGGACACATGCAGTACTACATCAGGACACATGCAGTACTACATCAGGACACGTGCAGAATGGGTTCCTGAAACTAAGCAGTTATGTTTCCACAGAGCAAGTGAAAGAACGCTTGTTGGAGATCTTGAACGCATCTTGTAAAAGGACTGTTTCATTGTGAGCCAATGTATATTTCTCAAAATTGATTGCAACCAAATCTGTTGATTTTGCATCATTCATGGCCTTACTCTAGCTCGTCCTCCACAGGTCCACACACTCTGACGAGACTGGGACAAAGCCAGATTAAATTCCATCTTACTTTTGAGTTATTTTTGCCCTGAAGCTCATCTAACAGCGCTTCCAAAGGAAATCAAAATGTGGTCAGTCCAGGGGAAGCGAATGTGATATTCATGCTGCTTTATATCCCATTTATGTGACAATTGGAGAAAAGTTAATCCGCAGCACCGTACAGTCCCAGGAGTGCCTACACTTTTAGCATCACCCGGTGGGAATTAAAGAAGCGGCAACTCTAAAAATGTGTTGGAGCCGTGCTGTTTAATGAAGGATCACCAAGAAAAGTGCTTCGACTGCGTCGTCATTTGAACAGGAAATAAAAGTTAGAGCTGTATGTAAGCTGTGGCTGATATTTGTTTTAATATCTTTAACGGGGAAATTACTCCTTCATTGAGTTGACATGTTAGAGTTGAATGTTTTTACAGAGAGAATTTGGAATATTTCTTTGTATCACTTCATAAATCAGAAAATACTGTCAACAGCCTTAATAAAACATCGTGCATGCTTTTAGGATTCAAATATTGTATAAATCAGACTATGAATGCTGTGTGAACAAACCCCTCTGTGTGAACCTTCAGCACACAGAGAGGAATGAAAGAGTGAAGTTTGGTGAATGTAAGAGCTGCTGAAGTGGAGATTTATCATCAGAGTCTGAGAACAAACTCATTTAGAGGAAACGTCCTTTAAAGAGACGTTTAGTTCCATTACAGACATTTAGAGACTCTACAGGTGAACACATGAACTCACAGATATCACCATGAAACTTCACCACTTCATCACTCACATTAAGACAATTATTTTTTGTATTACAAGTTTACTGAGATTTTGTTTAAATATGCAATTGAAACACCAAAACCTGATGTCTGCTGTCATCTATGTTTGATCTGAGTGTAACAACAGAGTCCACATGTTCAACAGGTTATCTTAAGAGTACAGCCAGCAGCTTTTTAATCTGGGAAAGAACTGCACTGCTGTTTACTATGTACTATTACCATTGCTCTGTCCACCTGTTTACCAGGTTAGATCTGTGTTGTAATTGTTTTTACTTGACTTCATATTTCTTGTGACTTTTATCATACGACCTCATTCCAGCCTCTTGGACTCGGCTGAGCTTGCATCATGTCGTTAAGAAGCTTCATGGCTTCTGGTGTCACACTTTAGAACTCCTGGCTGGTCTGATGACAGCTCTGTACTGCTCACACTCTGGCAGCATGAATACAGCACGCAGCTCTCTGCCTGAAAAACAACTAAATAAATGCTGCGTACTTAAATAAATAATGGCCTGAAATATGCCTTTGATTGCCTTTAGAATATTGAGCATCTAGTCTGCAAAAGTTAGTCAACCAGGGACTTCTCTAAAAAACACAATACCCTCATTTTAATGAAACTAGGTCGGATTAAAAAAATGTCAAATCTTGATATTTAGAAGACTGAGCAGCCGAGCAGTGAGTTCTGCCGTCTCAGGGCTGATTCCACTGTGTTTGTCCTGCGTTTGAACTCGAGGAGAGACTGTAAGTCTCAGACAGAGAGAGGAAAGAGGATGAGATCAGAAAGACGGAGACTGTAAGAGTGGAGAGAAGCTCGGGCCAAGTAGGACAGCAGGAAGTCAGATGACGACATGAGAGAGATGCTGAGAGAGGAAAAGATGTTTTGGAGGCGAGGACTGAAGACGGAGGAGGAAGTTGGGGGAGGACATAAAAGAGATGGAAGAGGAAGTTTTTGTTTTGTTCTTTCGCAGATGATACGTTGTTTCATACGTCAACAAAAATAATAAATCATATTTGAACTTAAAAAGAGAACAAATTGATGAATCTTTAAGATAAGAACAATACAATTCAAGGGCTGTGTTGTTTCTTCTGACCTGGTTGAGTTGATTTTGTTCCTGAATTCTCTTCTTTTTAATTCTCTTCCATGTCATCTTTTCTTTTGTTTTGCGTCCGTGTGTGTGTTCAGAGAGAACACGCTGCGTCCCGGTGATCGTCTCCTCAGTGTGGACGGCGTGCCGCTGCACAACGCCAACCACAGCGACGCCCTCAGCGTCTTGGCTCAGTGCGGCCAGGAAGCCCTGTTCCAGATAGAATATGACATCACTATCATGGGTGAGAGACCACACACACTCACACACACACACACACACACACACACACACACACACACACACACACACACACACACACACAGAAGACATGAAGCTTGAGGCAAAAGTTTCCACACTTTACCAAAATGGCACTTGAAACTAAAATTGGATGTTTTTTTGTTGTCGTGTTGACATTTTCTGCCGCCTCGGGCCGAGCGCTTCCTTTTTTTCCCAGTGTGTAACGGCTCAATTAAACTCACCCAGAATGCATTGCAAAGAATCCCCTGTACATCACATCTGATGGTTGCGGCTTTCGAGGGCTTTTTTTTTGCCTCAAGCTCGTCTGCTAATGTTGGTGATACAGAAATGGAAGAAGGCACTCTGCTGCAATATGTCGCCGTTGTTCTTCATGTCACAGGAGCATCAGAGCTAAATTATTTTAGAAAATGCCTTATTTTTCCTCAATCAGACACGGTGACGAACGCCTCCGGTCCGCTGTTAGTGGAAATCGCCAAGTCACCAGGGGCCACGCTGGGTATCACGCTGACGTCGGCCAATCACCGAAACAAGCAGGTCATCGTCATCGACCGCGTGAAACCTGGCAGCGTGGTGGACAGGTACACACACACACACACACACACACACACTGCTGTTTGTTTGACACATCCACCTTCACTCCCGCCCGCCCGGTGCATGTTGCAGCGGGCTGTTTACTTCCTCGTTCATGACTAAGTGGATACGGATTACGGCGCATTATTTTCCGTAGGTATAGCTACGAATGCTGGATGATACCAGCCTGATTCTTCCAATGATCTCGGAATATTGTGAGAATCCATCTGCCATACAAGCTAAGGGGGAAAAAAAGTACTTTTCAAATACTTTTATAGGAAAAATGTATTGATTAACAGGTGATAAAGTGTATTTATAACGTTATCATGAAAGGACACTGAACATTAACTTAATATTAGGAAGTATTGGACCATTTGTTCGATGTGAAAATACAGATATATCATCATATATTCAATGTGCAGGAATAATGAAGCGATCTGCTTCGCAGTTTTTAATTTTCATGTTGAACCATAATCATGGAAAACACAACAACCAACGTGATGATGTCATATGAATGTGAATGCAGCAGTTAAAGAACCTCTTGTCTTCAATACGTCTCCTCTCCCACTAGAGATAGCTGCAGTTTGGTTACAGATATGCAACGGCTGCCTCTCTCTCTCTCTCTCTCTGTCTCTCTGTCTCTCTCTCTCTCTCTCTCTCTCTCTCTCTCTCTCTCTCTCTCTCTTTCTAAGACACACTCACACACATCTAGCCCTGTAACTAACACAGACAGGAGGAGACAGGATATTTCCCCGAGCCTCAGTCTGGCTCTGAAATATACATGAAGCACTTGAACTTTGTGTCGGTGCTGAAACGAGCTCTATAATAACCTCGGTCAACTGAACAGGTTGACCGAGGAGGTTCATGTTCTGCCACAACTCATTCCAATTCAAGTTGTATGAGGATCGTGTTTAGCAGCTCTGCAGCACGTTGATCCGAGCTAATCAGGGAAACCTGGAACAAAAACAAAGCAGACATCGCAGCCGCTCCCTCGACAGAAAATCAATGTGATTTTTTCCATTCGATTTTGGATTTTTGCAGAAAAGAAGCCCTGTGGCAATTTATGATACTCGCACCACTTTTAGGATTTCTGAAGCGTGAATGCTGTTGCCAGAAGTGCTAGCGTTAGGCTACAAACCAACTACACCACGGTTGCGAGGAGCGAGAGTAAAAACACCACGAGGTGTTTTTACTCTTCAAAATTCATGAGAGGTTAACACGACATATTATATGTTGTAGAACAGAAGCGTTACGGAGGTGCAAAAACGCTGACTCGTTCCCGAGTTTTGGGACTCGCTCCTGCAGCGCTCTCTTCTACCTGTCTCTGTGTTTCACCAGATGTGGAGCGTTGCATGCTGGGGATCACCTGCTGTCCATAGACGGGACGTCGACAGAACACTGCACGGTCCTGGAGGCAACGCAGCTGTTAGCGAGCACGACAGAACTGGTGAAATTAGAAATGCTCCCCTCGCATCAAACAAGGCTAGCTGGGAAACAGCAAGACACAGGTGGGTGCACTCGTCTTTTACATTATGACAAAGTCATTAACGAAGGCGTAAATACCTGTATTTTTCCATTTTAACTGCAGTTACATTTGGATAGCAGGAAGTGTTTGCGACCTCACTGTTTTGGCACGTTTACACCTGATGGTCCTTTTTTCACATTGAAAGTAGTCTGATTTACAGTTAAAGCCAATTTATTTCTCCGCTTGGAGATGTCCTGGTGTTGGATAGTCAGCAGAGCAACGTAATGAAGTCCTGACATGAATACATACAACTACATGAAACAGGAAACCAAAGTGTCACCATGCCATGAATTAAAAAATACCAATTGTTCTTCAATCACTCAAACACATCACTTATCCTGCGATGTCATAACATCTGGATGCATTGTCGACCAGATGGCGTGTATTTAGTTATGTGGCCAAATTCAAACGGATGTTGTTGTTTTTCTTTTGCACCTTGCGTCGTCCTCCACCACAGCTGTTCACACTGTGTGATTATCTGAAAACATTTAACACTTGTTGTCTGCTACTAAAGTGATGTAAGAGTCAGTTGTGTGTGTGTGTGTGTGTGTGTGTCTGTGTGTCTGTGTGTGTGTGTGTGTGTGCCTGTGTGTGTGTGCGTGACAGGTCTTGAAGTTAATGAGTATAATAATCTCTTGATGCAATTGAAGCTTTTGGCTGATTCAGTCTGATTCTCACAGTCTGCCCTAGACTACCGTACAAGCTGTGTGTGTGTGTGTGTGTGTGTGTGTGTGTGTGTGTGTGTGTGTGTGTGTGTGTCTAAAATATCTGGTCTGTTCAAGGCGGCAACCTCCGATTCTGCCGAGTGAAGCCAATGCGGAAGTGTCTTAAAACTTGAATTGTGTCTACTGACCACCAGGGGGC